TCGAAATTGGTATCTGTCGATATTTCTGGGATAAGGTATTATGTACACTATTTACATTATTCGGACTATTGTCCTCATCTTTACACCATATTTATTACAACGTTTCGGCCGTTGTACGCTCCGGCCTTCTACTCAAGGATACATGGCACAGTGGATAAAGGCGTTAGTTAGATCCAATGACAGGACCCAAAGAGTGTGAGTTCAATACCTGGTTAAGGCAGTGGAGAAATTTCAGAGGGAAATTAACAGGAGATAACTGACATCCATTAAACATGGCACGTGGAACTAGAACAGTCTACCCCAGTGAGCAAAATAAAGGGTTCAGTTCGACATTCCAACCACCTGAAGAAGGCCGGAGCGTACAGCGGCCGAAACGTTGTAATAAATATGTCGACAAAGATGAGGAAAATAGTCCGAATAATGTAAATAATGTCGAAATTGGATTGAGGAATCGGAGAGCCGAGTTAGAATTCCAGTCAAAACCATTACTTTCACTTACGTACTAATTCACTTGGGAAAGGTATGAATCCTCTCCTTCACACACACCCAGCTATGGGTAAATAGCAAGAAAGACTGGGTTCTATAGCATTGGATGGCAACTGGTTAACCGCAGAAAGAAATGGCAACCTACTGCGGCAAAAAATCTGCCTCGTCAGTCATGTATCGAAAGATACACGATCGCCTAAGTGTGTATCACGGATGGCTGATATTAATCTTTCACTGTATAATACGCGAGTTGTTTTTTTTTTTTTTCGTTTTTTTGTTTTTTTGTCTATATGTACGTAACTTTTAATGAACTAGAGTTATTTCCCTTGTACTGGTGTCGCCAAGTAGTAGTGTCTTTGTTGTAACGATAGAAAACAGCTTGTACATGTTTACGAATCGGAGAGGTGAAAAAACAGACTCCATAAATAGTAATGGTACTTATATTAAATTATGAATTAATATTGTCGAAATTAACGATATACAACATTAAGCATTTGATTAAATAATATTTCCATTTTTTAAAAATCAATGGTTCCATTTCATAACATTTAAAAGTATACTCTTTAAAAAAACTTTACTAAGTGTGCCGTGGCATTTTCATTTGCTCTTCAGTGTGCCGTTGCTTAAAAATGTTGGGAAACACTGCTCTATGGGTTTTTTAATGCCGACATCTAAACATTTCGTACGTAATTTTATGCTTTCAACTACAAATATATCGTACAGGATTTTATTCTTTCAGAGTAAAGGTATGTTTTTAGATATATATTTTGTAGATCATAAAATGTATTGTTGGTAATTTTACTATAAAAATGTACTTTCGATTTTTGTTCACTATTTTCCCATAGCTGGGGCCCTCACAGGTGCAACCACCCCGGGTTAGGTTGGGCTTAGCATAGTGCATAGCTGTTTGGAAGTGCCTAAAAATCATAACATGAGCTAACCCAAGTCTAGTGAGTGATATTCTGTAAGGCAGGAGAGTTCCGAAGCCGTCGTTGTTCATGTATACGTAGTCTCATGTCCTCACCTAATGTGCAACTCTTGGTTACCTATCTAAAGCAAAAGAAAAAAGAAACAACTCCTAGCAGCTTGGTCACTCGCGAGGATGTATCAGGCTGAAAAGCGTACAATGACTGTAAATTTTAACCTATGACGGCATTGAGAATAACTGCTGTAAACGAAAATTGTTTTTTTTTTAATCTTTTCACCCCAAACAAGGCGGGAGTGCCACTAGCACGTAAGGGGTTACAGAGAGTGAAAGTAAGTGTAAAGAGGCGTGATAGAGGAAAGGATGAAGAGAAGGACAGAGAGTAGATCAAGGCATCTGGAGATGTCGATTGACATTGCATTTGAATAGTTGGAGATTATAGCTATCAGGGAAGCAAGTAACAGGGAGGGAGTTTCACAGACGGGAAGTGCGAGGCGTGAAGCTATTGGAATAGAAGAAACGGCTACATTCAACCGTTTTAACAGTGAAAGAGTGGGACTGAGATGCCGAACAGATAATACGGTTAAATTCATGCAGTTTGGGAACTAGCGAAAGTAGCTCGTCGGAGCAGTTACCGTAAATGTATTTGTAGAAAAGTTAGAGGGAAGCGACGGCACATCTGTGAGAAAGTGACTGCAAACGAGATGCTAGATCAGGGCAAACCAAATTGCATATCCGTCTCTAAATTTTGTCGAGGACCCTAAGATGAAGTGCAGGGGTTACAGACCATAATGGAAAGACTGCATGACAGTTACTTTACGATTTGGGCTATAAGAACAAAAATTTGAAGAAAAACAAATCTAAGGATACAGATTTATCACTTCGGTTTCGCTAGACCGCTTCCAGTCCCTACATTTGGTGCTATTGTTTTGTTGTTGTTTTTTCTTTGAAAATAATTTCTTTATTTAAACCAAAGCTTTCTTCTATATATTTATTAAATTTATATAAGTCTAACACAATTCTACAATATTACTGGCATCAAACGCCAGTGATGTCAAACATATAACCGAATGGTTGAATATATGTTGGTTGGTTGTTTTTGTTTAGTGGCATATCAACACCTCTATGGGTTATTTAATGCTGAAATCTAAATATTTTGTATGTATTTTTTCTTGAGATAATAATGGTTTAAGTAATACAAGTCTTACTAATTAATCCATAGCTGGGGAGAATATGTGGATTCATAGCCTTTCCCAAGGTTTTTTGCGCGTAAGTAAATATAACGAACCCAATTGAAATTGGAACTTTCCTCTCCAATAAACAATTCCGAGTTATTATCCATTGTATCATCCGCGCATCGAAGCTTACAACATCTGATATTTCCAAGCGCTCACCGATTTTAGGTACTAACAAGGCTCGACGTTGATTCGGTGATCGTACGGGAACCAATGTTTTAACGTGATTTGGCCGTAAGTACTGAATGATCGAATAGAACATAACTGAACATAAGATCTTCGACAGGCGCTCTATTTAGAAATAGAAAGCCTAGATTTATGGGAAATAGGAATAAGAATTGTTTTTCTTTGCCTTCTACGCGGTTTTGAATTCTGGGGTTTTTGTTTTCATACACTAGTTGCTAGCTAAGACTCGAGAGATCAATCTATCCCTACTATTTAATCCATATCTGACGGGTGAGAAAAAGAATGTATTTATACTTTTCTCATTAGGCTTTTTGCGCGAAGATGAGCGCAATAGACGAGCCCGGAATTTGAACTCGGCTAACCGATTTCACATTCCGGGTCTAACATACAAATGCCCACTACCTTTCTCAATAATGTATGGCAAATCACTGATAATTAAAAAACAAAATGTCATGGTCGTCTACATCTTGAAGGGGATTATATGGCATAAGGGATAAGCTGTGGGTTTAAAGGATGGACAGGAGAGTAGGATGGTTATCGTTGTGAAAAGTAAAATCAGGGAACCGACGTCAAATTACGTTGTAGTCTTCTTGGGAAAAGCACGAATCCATTTCCACCCATCCACTCACACACACACACACACAGAGCTATGGGTCAAATAGTAGGGTAAACCGAACTCTTTAGCTTTGAGTAGCAATAAGTCTAGAAGTCTAGAAGCTTACATTCAAAATCGTAGCAATAAGTCTAGAAGTCTACATTCAAAATCGTAGCAATAAGTCTAGAAGTCTAGAAGTTTACATTCAAAATCGTAGCAATAAATCTAGAAGTCTAGAAGTCTATATTCAAAATCGTAGCAAAAAGTATAGAAGTCTAAAAGTTTACATTCAAAATCGTAGCAATAAGTCTAGAAGTCCAGAAATCTACATTCAAAATGGTAGCAAAAAGTATAGAAGTCCATAAGTCTACATTCAAAATCGTACCAATAAGTCTAGAAGTCTAGAAGTCTACATTCAAAATCGTAGCGAGAAGCCACTCTACTGTTTACCCAAGAAGTCGTAGTAATTCATCGGTCATGGCATTAAACCACATCGGAATTTAATGAAAATATTTAATTCTTGCGTAAATAAGTGTATTTCTAATGAATTAGTGTTTTGTATATATATACTTTTATTGCAAGAAAATTATTTTGGAAATAAAGATTAATATAATATAGAAATATTTGTAAATTGGTAAAAAAAGAATATAATTTGTAAATGAAGTGTTCAAAGGCTACATCACCGATGTATCATGTCCGTTCAGGATGTGCATGATCATGGTGCTCCACAGCTTCCTGTCTTACGTAGCTCTGAGCAACTTTAGTGCACTTAGTATCCATCTCAGTCCCAGTACAACAATCCATTTACATAAATTCATTAGGCAGGTTAATCGTTGTTTCCCTTTGCCTCATATCATTTGAGTGTTAAATTCTCCAAGCACTCCTTCCTCATTATGCGTCCTAGAAATTTCAACTATCTCTTTCTGGTTTTAAGTTTTAATCTCCTTTTCATTCTTATTTTTATTAACACCTCACAGACTGACATCATAAAAACGATTAAGCAGAGTATGAGATAGATAGATAGATAGATAGATAGATAGATAGATAGATAGATAGATAGATAGATACGAACATACAGAGATAGATAGATAGATAGATAGATAGATAGATAGATAGATAGATAGATACGAACAGACTGAGATAGATACGAACATATTGATAGATAGATAGAGAGAGAGAGATACGAACAGACTGACATAGATAGATAGATACGAACAGGCTGAGATAGATAGATAGATAGATAGATAGATAGATAGATAGATAGATAGATAGATAGATAGATAGATACGAACAGACCGAGATAGATAGATAGATAGATAGATAGATAGATAGATAGATAGATAGATAGATAGATAGATATGAACATATTAAAAAAGATAGTGTACTGACTGCGATAGATAAATCGCTTCTTTTTTTCGAAAAATACGGATAAAGAATTCTAGGAACGTGTAATTTGAAAATGGTCCTGAATTGATGTCTTTTTTCCTACAAGGGCAAAAAGGCATGGAAGCAAATGTATTTCTTCTTTACAGAAAATATCTTTAATTCTTCGAAAAATAACGGAAGACTTGAAATGGAAAGAAAAAAACCAAAACCGCAAATCTATTTTTCTTCCAATGTTCACAACGATTTTCTGTCGCTTCAAGAATTTTATAAAAGAGGCGTATTTTCTCGACATTTTTTTTTTCGTTTTCTCTTAATTCTCATTTGTTTATTGCCTCTTTCCACCAAATTTCAAAGTTGATTTTCGTGCCTCTGTTTGCTTTCTTTCTTTCTCCCTTTCTTTGTCACCCTTATTTCTTTCAGTTGTATTGATTATTTTATATTTCTTCTGTCTTTCTCTTCATTTTCCTTCTTTCTCTCAACGTGATCTTTCTTTTTTTTCCTCCGTTTTTTATCCCACTTCCTACTCTTCAAGCTCCTTCTTCCCGCTTTTCGTTCTTTATTTTCTTTCTCCAATCTAATTGCTAATTAAGGAGTCATTGTTTACGGTAGATGTCTGTTTTCATTATTCAGCTGTTTTTTCCCCACCTGTAAGAACCCCCGTTTATATATTCCAGCAACCCGTATTGAAATGTGTACTATCATACGCACATATTGATTGTGCTTATCTCAATGTATATGACGTCATGAGGCCTGTCTGAAACGCCTCCAGCCATTTTGAATATTTCATATCTCGGGAACCGGTTGCGCTGCCTTGATGTATATTGACTTCAAGCCAGAGCGCATCGTACTGCGTATGCATAAACTGTTACTATCCCATGGGTTTCTTTAGTCAGTAGTAAGACGCATTTGAGCGAACTTGTCTACATGTCCGACCATTGTCTCTGCAATGGCCGAACATGTAGATTCGTCACGTGACGTCCGGATTCCATCCACCATTGTCACCACAACTGCAACCACCATCACAAAAACAACTGGCATTCTTTTTCTATGGGCCGTGTTATTCACGAAAAAGGTGGTTATGTCTCTCCACAACTGCTATCTCATCGGACGCTTAGCAGATTTTCTTCATTTGCTACCCCACCCCAGTTCCGTCCTCCATTGATATACAAGCTCGTCAAGTAAGTGACTCGCTGACTTTCGCTATCTCTCTTGCCACCAATGTACCCTGTGAGTGTTAAGTTCTCCAAGCCGTCTTTCCTCATTATGAGTCCATAGAATTTTAGCTGTTCTGTTGCCATTTTCATCAAGACTTCATCGTTTCTTAATCCCTCTGTCCATAGTATTCTCAGTATCCTTCTGTAGAACAACATTTTTGTTGCTTCTGGTTTTTTCCTCATTCTTAGGGAAATTGTTGGTGATCCAAAAAGGGAAAATTTGAAAAGTCGAAGAACGCTGAGATACCCCGAAAATGAAAGGGGATTTTATAGAGTATTTTGGCTCCAAGCAGGTTATTTCTCGTTAACCCTCTTCATCATTTTTTTAAATCCGATGTTCCTTCAAGATGTAGGTGATTATTATTCTCCTCGTTTTCCTTTTCATTGTTATCTTTGAATTGTCACACATTATGAGGTAAGTTAGTGTATTTCTCTACAGTTTGGTATTCAAATCTTTCCTTCTCTTACGTTTCATAGACTACGCATAGGCCTTCGACAAAATACGCCAAAAGACCTGATGGAACTGCTCAGCAACCTAGATATATTCGGGAAAGCTATCAGAATAATCACGAACATATACTGGCAGCAAACAGCATGCATGCGCATAGGGAACGAGTTCAGTGAATACACAAAAATAGAAAGCGGCGTAACGGCAAAGACGCGTTTTCTCACCCGACCTGTTCAGCCTATACAGTGAGGCAATTCTGAGAGAATTGGAAACCCTACCGGGATTTAGCATTGGCGGCTACAATCTTAACAACATAAGATACGCAGATGATACAGTACTGATAGCAGACAAAGAAAAGAAATTACAAAATCTCCTACAGAAGGTAGCGATGGAGAGCGAGAAGAAAGGACTAAGCATAAGACAGAATGCGTGGTCATCAGTAAAAGGATGGGCCCGAAATGCAATTTGCAGGTTGGGAACACTAGAATCAAGCAGACGCGGAAATTTAAATATCTGGGAAGCGTTCTGATAGAGGACGTTAAATGCAACACTGAGGTCCGTAGACGTATTGGGATGGCCATGGCCGCATGACAAAATATGGACAGAGTATTGCGAGACAGAAGGGTTTCTTTAGTAACAAGGAAAAGAATACTGAGCTGTTGCATGATATCTGTTCTTCTTTACAGTAGCGAATGTGGACGATTTCCTCAAAGATGGAGAAGAGACTCAAGGCGACGGAAATGTGGTTCTACAGAAGGATGCTAAGGATATCATGGGCCGAGCGTGTGAGCAACGATGAGGTCTTAGAGAGGATGCAAACAAAGAGGAGGCTTATACTTAACATCAGGAAGAGGCAGCTGAAGTTTCTGGGACACATAATGAGGAAAGAGGGCCTAGAGAATCTGATACTCACATGTTGAATAGAGAGAAAGAGATACAAGGGAAAACAACACATGACATACCTAGCAGGCTTAAGCAAGTCGATGACAGAACTTGGTCTGGGGGTAGGTAGAAGAGGAAAGGAACTTGAGAACTGCAAGGGATATAAGCAGGTGGAGAGCCGTGATCACCTACGTCCTGAAAGGACATGGAACATAAAAAAATCTGGTTACCACCCAAGGCTAGAAAAAATAAGTCTTCCTTACTATTTAACCTACGTTAGCTTCAAATCTGAATGAATCCTTTGTTCTCTCCGCAGGAATATACACTAGAAGAATCGAAATGGCAAATTATTACAACAGATGTCTTTAAAAGAAGAAAAGCAGACATTTCTAAATGTTATTGAAATTCTCTTTTCGTTTTACATATTTCAATACCATTTTTCTTGTAGGAAGCAAGGAATTCTTTAAGGTTTTCAGAGTTGTTTTTCCTTGGTTAGGGATTGAGTTTTTTTCTCCCTTTTTCTTTTGTGCTTTCTGCTGTCGTTAACAGATGTAAATTATCCTTCCAACTTACAGATATAATCATACATATTATAAAACCCAGGTTGTGTGTGTGTGTGTGTGTGTGTGTGTGTGTGTGTGTGTGTGTGTGTGTGTGTGTTCGTTTATATATTGGATCGGATTTCCTACATTTTTCAACCGATTTCAACAAAACTTCACAGGACTACGTAAAATTATCTTGCGGTGGTTCTGACAGCGCTAGAAATTGGAAAAACACAATTGTTTTTGCACGAAATCAATTTGAAAACACAATTAATAGGCATCGCTATCGCGAGAATGAAAGGGGGACAACTCATATCGAGTTATCCTTATTATAAAACCCAGGTTGTGTGTGTGTGTGTGTGTGTGTGTGTGTGTGTGTGTGTGTTGTGTTCGTTCGTTTATATATGGTATCGGATTTCCTACATTTTTCAACCGATTTCAACAAAACGTCACGTTTTTTTTTTTTTTTTTTTGGCAGGTAGTGTTTCTTATTGTCTTGTACACTTTTTTTCTTTATTTTTACATTCAGAATGCTTTTAAAAATTCCTTTTACAAGACAATTGTTTATAATAAAATTCTATTCAATCGGTAGACTCATAAAAATTGAAAACAATGTTTTTTTTTTGAGTTTGGGTTTGACCAATTCGTAAAAAAAAAATAAACTAATTAAGACATGCGTGTCCGTCAAACTTAAACAATAATTTTTGTCAATTTTACTTTTCAGTCTTTATGATGGTCGATACTTGATCTATCTCTTACTGTTACATCCCCGGGCAACGCCGGGCTCTATTGCTAGTTAAAAATAAAAATAATTAATTTTTCCTCAGAGAGTTATTTATTTATTTGCTAAAAAGTGTTTGCGTCGTTTTTACAACCTGACTTTCGACTGTAATGAGACGATTACTTTATGCATGCAGAGTGGTTGCATGTTTCACTACTATGTTCTTCAGAATAATTCGAAAAGTGAACTTTTCATAGCTCATAAAATCTTTTCGTTTCGTTCGCAAGCTGTAAAATTTCTGATTTTCAATGTTATCATATTTGTTTTCTACTCAATCGAAATATAATTAACGTTTGCAAACATTTTTTTTCTACAAAAATAGAGTGAGGGGCGATTTGGTTATGTAAATTTATTCTTTTGATCGCCATTTTTAGCGCTTGCATTATGTATTCTAGATCAACATCTGCTGCCATCTTCATCTGGAAAATTATTTCTTTCGTTCGATATAACAAATGGGATCCAATTTCCAGTGTAGCATTGGTAGCTCAGTAGTAAAATCGTTGTTCTTGATATCAAAAGGCTAACTATAACATTTACATATCTTAAGAAGCTCATTTTCACCTTCGCATTAGGTAGAAAAGATGGCGTTGACAATATTACAATATATTTGACAGCTGCTATAGTGACTGACATAGTATTAATTTGCGGATGTGACAAAAACCTCAGTATCATTATTGTTGTTGATGGAAGCTTAAGTGGATATAATAATGCAAGCTGTGTAGCAGAAGTTAAGTTGATCTCAAAAGCTATTACTTCATTACAATGTTTGTACCTCACCGGGTGTTATGTAAGATTCAAATTTAATAAATACCGCGTCCTGGGTAGGACGATAAACTACCCCCGGCGTGCTGGGTAAGATGATGAACTACGTTCAACAGAAATGCCGACAGGAGGTTTTGTGGAGCGTGGAATCACCTCTTAATTGCTGGTGTTCCCATGCCCACCCTGACCCGGGGTGGTAGCACCTGTTAGGGTCCCAATTATGAGCAAATAGTTAATCTCAAAACTGGGGTTAAAACACTATGAAAGTTTAAAAATAGGTTTTAATAGAAGAAATACATCTTTTGAGAGGAAAATTATTACCAGCAATGCATTATTACCAGAAATACATTTCTGAAGGAAAAATATTACCAGCAATATATTTTGGGGAAAAAAATACCAGCAATATATTTTTGAAAAAAATATTACCAGCAAGAAAAGTTTTGTCGGCATTAAATAACCCATTGAGGTTGATATGCAGTAAAACAAACCAAACCAAAGTAATAAATACCTGTTGAGATATGCAACATTGTGCATACTTCTCTTTGTCAATTCTCGTTACAAAACCAAGGCTGAAGAATAGAAATAGAAAATGAGAATTCGTTTTCGCTTCCTTAAAATATAAGTAATAATCAGGTCGGAACAATCAGGTCGGAACAATCAGGTAGGAACAATCAGGTCGGAACAATCAGGTCGGAACAATCAGGTAGGAACAATAATAAGTCCGCAACGTCAATGGTCATGAAAGCATTTTTTTAAGAGAAAAAATATTTTCAAAATAATCTCCTTCGTTATTAATGCACTTACTTAAGAGATGAATATAAATCGTACAAATCGTATAGATCTCGTATTATACACTGAAATATTCAGATCGAAATTCATGTCACAACTACATTTCAAGTTGCGTACTTGTTGATTCATAAGGGTCTAAAACTTCCAAAAGAAAAGATTCTAAGTTGATTATAGGCGTATAAGGTCGCAACTCATTTATTACGCGTCGTTTTCCTAAATCACTAAAGTCAAGCGATGATCTGACTGTTCTGTACTTAAGTGGGTAACCATTTAGGAAGAGTAGGTTTATTATTCGACTTTAGGGCATTTTTTCAAACTAATCAATTCATAGTAACTCCTCCGTTAGTTCCCCGTAGTATTGAACCGTTCACGACCTGTTTTCGGTATACTTAATAACTGGTTAAAATTTCATGGTTATTTTTTTCTAAACAATTCACCCCAAGCAAAGAGATAATGCCACTAAGACGCGAAAAGCTACTGGCAGTTAAAGATAATGAGAAGTCTTTAAATTAACTGGAAACCCAATCCCAAACAGGAAACAAGGTATAAACTGTTGTTCAAAAGACTAGAGAGGAGTGTGAAATGGACGATAGGCGAATCTATCTATTTCTATTAAGTAAAAATAAATAGTAAATAATATTCAGAAAGTATAGATTTGAAGTAGGCTTTAGAAGGAATCGGAAACCTAATTTTAAACAGAAAACAAAGGATAAACCTCCACTAGCTATTCAAAAAACCGGAGAGGAGTGTGAACTGGACGATAGGCGAATCCATCTACTTCTATTAAAGAAAATAAATAGTAAACAATATTCAAATTTTAGGCCGAGACGTTAGAAATATAGATTTGAAGTAGACTTTAGAAGGAATCGGAAACCTAATTTTAAACAGGAAACAAGGGATAAACCTCTACTCCTCTTCCAAGATCGGGGGACATTTTGAACTTGACGATAGGTGAACTTATTTAACGTATTGAGGAAGAATAAATAAGTAAATAAATAGTAAATAAAGTTTCAGAGTTTAGGCGGAAACGTTAGAAGTATAGAGCTAATTATATAGCTTTATGAATACATGTATCAAGTAACTGGTTTTAGTTATAATATTTGTGCAAATTACAATCACTTGGTTATAGAGTAAAAACTGTTTATAACAATTGTGGTAGAAATGTATGCAAAGATCGCAGTAAAACTTGTTCATTGACTGCAATGAGAAAAGCAGAAGAAAAAAAGTCTGATTGATCCTAAAATATTTTTAAAGATCATACGATGAATAAAATATAACCTTTTTTTACATTTTTTTTTTAAATTTTTAAATTAATTTTTAATATTCTTTTTGAATTGATTTTTCAAAATGTTTTTGATTTTTGATATTTATTTATGCTATGAAAAACAGAAACGACACTCACGACAATATATAAAAAGAAAATTAAGAACTAAATTATCTACTTATAATATTTTAAATGATGTTGTTTATTGCTGCGCGTCTTAGAAAGCGGTGAACACTACGGCAACAGGTGAGACAATACAAACCAATCTCATCAATGGAAAGCTCCATATCTGCATCTGTGACGCTGACATAATTTGAGGCCTATTTATACGTATCTCAACCACTTCATATCTATCTATCTATCCATCTATCTATCTATCTATCTATCTATCTATCTATCTATCTATCTATCTAGTCCTGTTCATACGTATCTCAACCACTTCATATCTATCTATCCATATATATCCATCTATCTTGAGACGTTCTATATCTATCTATCTATCTATCTATCTATCTATCTAGGCCTGTTCATACGTATCTCAACCACTTCATATCTATCTATCCATATATATCCATCTATCTTGAGACGTTCTATATCTATCTATCTATCTATCTATCTATCTATCTATCTATCTATCTATCTATCTATCTATCTATCTATCTAGGCCTGTTCATACGTATCTCAACCACTTCATATCTATCTATCTATCTATCTATCTATCTATCTATCTATCTATCTATCTATCTATTCCTGTTCATACGTATCTCAACCACTACGTATCTATCTATCTATCTTAATATATCCATATCTATCCATCTATCTTGAGACGTTCTATATCTATCTATCTATCTATCTATCTATCTATCTATCTTAATATATTCATATCTATCCATCTATCTTGAGATGTTTTATATCTATCTATCTATCTACCTATCTATATATCTATCTATCTATCAGCCTATTCAAACATGTCAGCCACTTCATATCTATCTATCTATCTATCAGCCTATTCATACATATGTCAGCCACTTCATATCTATCTATCTATCTATCTATCTATCAGCCTATTCAAACATATGTCAGTCACTTCATATTTATCTATCAATCTTTCTATTTATCTATCTCAAAATTTTCATGTCTATCTTTTGTAGTTTATTGATATCTCTGTATACTAACATTTCATTTTTTGTTTCTTTCTTTCTTCAAACGTATTGAAAATAGCAAACAAAACGCCGCCTATCTCCCCAGTCACGTGATCTGTTCATAACTTAATTTTAATTTTTACTTAATAAAACAGATAGCAAGTGAGCCTAACGGACATTTACCGCTCATTCTCTTAATTTAACGACAAGGTTGACAATCTATTTAATAGATCTATACCAATGATTCTCAACGTGGGGCGCATGACTCACCGGTGGATCATGGTAATATTTTCCGGTCGCTTTCTATCACCACAGTCAAAGCCTACGGGTTCGATTTGGGAAGGGATTCCAGCTGCATCCAGATATTTTCTGATGATGTCGTGTTTTTGGGGTTTGTTTTGCGGGGGGTTGTTTTTTGCTGCATGCCTTGGAAAGTGACCGGCACTATGACGACAGGAAAGAGGATGCAAACCAACCTCATCAATGGAAGCTCAACATCTGCATCTGTGACGCTCACATAATTTGAGGCCAAGACAGATCGCGACTCCGACCCGAGTGCACTCATTATCCAGAACCGTATTCGGTTGTGAAGCAGATAGTCGAGAGGCGAGGCGCTGCTGACCCAGAGGAATTCCCAAAATAGTAAAATTGGCCTCGCATTTGATTTTATTCCTAGCTTTTCTCTTTTGATGTGTCTTGTGATATAGAAAGTAATTCTTGGACACAGCTTCTTCGAAAGAGCTCGAAAGAGCTACCCGAAAAACCTGACGATGATACACCGAGTATCTCATCAATCAATTCATGACTGGAAAAAGATTAAAGATGGGGGGTGGGCAAGTCTGCCGATGATCGAAGGCCCAGGCCTCCGAAACTAAAAGGGAGCTTCACCTGCTTCCAGTTGCAAATTAACTCGACGCATCTCTTAATTCTGGTATCTATCTCGTTTAAGAAATCCTGTTCGAGGTAGCAAGGGACACTTCAAAGAGTGTAGAGAAAAACTGTTCTTTAAGATGCAGAAGGTTGGGTGTGCATCAATTAATTGCAATCTTCCAGTCATTCTTGTTGGGCCTTGACTGTGGTGATGGAATGTGGCTGGATGGGATTACCATTTTCCCTTTTAAACGAGGGAAGTCGTTGATTTGGGATGCTACCTGCGCCGATATATTTTCGACCAGTAATTTGGTTAGGTCAGCGATTGACCTGGGGTCTGTCGCGAAGGACGTGGAGATAAAAAAAAAATAGTCAAATATTCTTCTCTTTTGGGCATTTATTTTTACTCCAGTGGCAGTGGAGACTTCTGGGATTATAGGTCCTCGTTTGATGGCGTTCCTTCAGAGGATTAGCAAGATTGCGTCTCGATTAAGGGACGAGCCTCGCGAAACGGAGTGACTCTTGAAGTGTGTTTCACTGGCAATGGTTCGACGTAATGCTTTCGCCATCAAAGCAGAAAAATGTTTTAGCTTCTTCCGCGTCATTAAAAAATACTTTGGTCTTTTCTTTTTAAAAAAAAATATTTTAAATAGACCGTTTGAAAACACTGCTATTAATTCTGTGACAATCCCACACAGTAATAAAGGAAGATTATATAATATTAATACTCTTATATGACAGTGAATTCTAGACAATCTCTTCACAGATGAAGAAGAGACTTGAAACAACAGAAATGTGGTTCTACAGAAGGATGCTGAGAATAGCATGGTCTGAACATGTGAGCAACGACTAAGTTTAAGAGAAAAATGAAATCAAAAGGACACTTATAATTAACATCAAGAAGTGACAGTTGAAATTTCTACAACGCATAATGAGGAAAGAGGGCTAGGAAACATTAATACTCACATGACATATTGAAGGCAAGAGGAAAACAACGCATAACCTATCTAAAGACCTCGAGTAAATGAATGTCGAAACAAGGTTTAGAAGAGATAACAAAAGGACAAGATTTATTAAGAGCCACAAATGACAGGAAATGATCGCCAATGTCCTGAAGGAACACGGCAGATAGGAGAAGAATCCCTCAATAAGTCTTTGAAACACAAACTGCTTTCTTCTACGGTAACGTATTTTTCTTGGACTCACTCTCTGATAAATATCACCTTTTGGTAGAAAAATAAATGCCGGGAACTTCGGTTTGGCAAGGAATCCAGATGAAGTCAGTGCTGGTCGACAAACAACAAAGGTTATAAAATGTTATAAAAAATCCTCCAGACACACAAGATAATATCAAGGTATTAATTCATACCCAAGAATTGTCTATGTTGAACGAGGTTAACTGAATTGAACTGCTGTAAACATCTCGTGAAAAACAAAACAGACTGTTGACAAGCCATCAAAGAATCCAAACCTCTATTCACCATATGAAAGTATTAAACGTGATGATTTTTATTTATTTATTTATTTATACTCTTCTTTCTTTTTACCGGCGATACGAGAATAAGTTTGCGCAGTGGATTTTGGGTAATTTAATTTGTGCTATCAGAAGTTTCGTTTTTTTTTTCCTTGTATTATTATTTCGCTTTTCTTCTTATTTATTTGTTTATTTTCCTTTTTTCTGTAAATTCTAAAAGTGAAAAATGCGGGTTATTCCTACCCTACACATACACACACACACACACACACACACACACAACAAATTTATTTCAATACGAAACTGGAGTGCAGATCAGAGAAGGTGATCGGGGGAGAAGATAGAAAATGTAATTTGCATGGAAATTATGAACAGATCACGTGACTGGGGAGATAGGCTGCGTTTTGTTTGCTATTTTCAGTACGTTTGAAGAAAGAAACAAACAAACAAAAAAAAAAAGAGAGATATCAATAGACTGCAAAAGATAGATATGAAAAGTAGATAGATAGATAGATAGATAGATAGATAGATAGATAGATAGATAGATAGATAGATAGATAGATATGAAGTGGCTGACATGTATGAATAGGCTGATAGATAGATAGATAGATAGATAGATAGATAGATAGATAGATAGATAGATATAGAATATCTCAAGATAGATGGATAGATATGAATATTTTGATAGATATAGAACATCTCAAGATAGATGGATAGATATGAATATATTAGATAGATAGATAGATAGATAGATAGATAGATAGATAGATAGATATGAAGTGGTTGAGATACGTATGAACAGACTGATAGATAGATAGATAGATAGATAGATAGATAGATAGATATGAAGTGGTTGAGATACGTATGAACAGACTGATAGATAGATAGATAGATAGATAGATAGATAGATAGATAGATAGATAGATAGATAGATAGAATGAGAATAACGAAATAAATGTTGAAATCCGTATGAAGAGATAAAAAGAAAAAACAATAATTAGCAACAAGAAGACAATTCTTGTCAATGAACTTCGCGTAATAATCAATGTCTGACGATGACAGTACTTAACTCGCAATTAAATGCATTTTACATTTCAGCACTAACAATTCCATTTCTGATGGTGGCCTGAAATCCATTTGTAAACACATCAGTAGACAGCAATAATCATTTCAAGTTATTTGATAAATATCACACCCACAATAAAAACAAAAAATCTAGTGGTCCTTCAATTAATTATACATGACATTTCCCAAGAATATTAGAGCAAATGAAGACATACCGTCGAACAGGGCGAGAATCCAATTTAAAAATCTTTCCATTGATCGGCTTGCCTCTAGTTGCAAATTTTAGCCTTTGTATAAAGGTACTATGTGTTCCAAGTCTCTTCTTCGTCAGTGAGGAGATTGTCCAGCGTTCGTTGACGTACAGGAGGACCGATAAGAAAGTACTCTTTTTTTCTTCTAAAAGAAGTAAACACAATAGATATTTTGTCACCAGGGCACAGTCTGCTTACAGAACCTGGCATTCCTAAATGGTCACTCGTCTATTGATCAAGTTTAATGCTGTTTAAGTTCGTCGATGAAGCAACAGAAATTTGACTCAACAGAAAGATGATAAGAATGCCATGGACCGAACATGTGAACAATGATGAAGTTTTAGAGAAAATTGAAACGAAAAAGACGTAACAAGAGAAAGAGACTTCTGAAATGTCTAGGACACATAAAGATGAAAGACGGATTGGATACTTTGATACTCACGGGGCCATATTGAAGGAAAGAGGAATATAGACGAGAGAGGATGACTTACCTCGTGTGATAAAGCGAACACGTATATGCCTGGCGTGCAAAACGAGTGAAGGGAAGGAAAAAGAAATGGCCGCCCTGACAGCTTAATTTAAGAAACACGGTCTCGGAGCTATGAGAATTCGCGAGAGTGGTTGGGTATAGGTAAATTTTCTGCGAGATCAGCTCGGCATAAAAAACACCACGCGAGAGAGAATATACAGTTCGCTTGTGAACGTGGTGTTGCATGTACGGAGAGGCTTTGTCAGTTGGAAAGATATTACTTGGATCCGTTTCTCACAAGGAACACAAGGGAAAACAGCGTATAACCTACTTAACAAGCTTGTGTGAATGGTTGACAGAGAAGGGTTTAGGAGAGATAGGGAAAAGACAATATTTACTAAGAACTACAAAGGACAGGAAATTGTGAAGAACAACGGTCGTCAACGTCGTGAAGGAACAAGTCACATAGAACGAGATGGGACGGAAATCCAATGTTCAGCATAACATACTTGTAAGCATTCTATTTTTCAGTAAGGTTAGCTTAGACTGGTAGATATCTACAGAAGAGCGGAATCCGAATTAAAACAAAAATAGGACAAATGTCAATTTGATCAAGACACTGACACATGTGGAATAAGTAAATACTAAAACACTTCAAATCATTTATAACAAATTTAGTATATCAGAAGGAAATTAAACATGGAATAGTATGCACTAGGGGCAGTTTCACCCATCACCGTAATTTGCTATTAAAACAAAACATTAACATTAAAAATCTTTTCATCTTAAATAACCCCGTCAGATCGAGGCTTTCACGCGGATGTCATGCATAGCATCAAACTCGTTCAGAAATACCAAAAGATATCAGCTGTATATAACCGCTTTCTCAGTGCGATTGTTAAAAGTGGCTTCGAACAAATGAAGCTTGTAGACTGGCACTACAGAATCACAAAGTTGTACCAAATAACAGAAACCACATCACTTGATAACTTTCAACAGCAGCAACAACTAAAATGGATAGCACATGTAATTTGAAGAGAAAATAATGACATAATCAAAATGTTAACGTTCCACACTACTTCGAACAAAAGGTTAGGAAGGAAACTCCGATAATGGAAAAAGTGATAACAGCTACTGGGCTTGAGAAGAGAAAATAATAACATAATCAAGATATTGACATTACACAATACTTCAAATAAAAGGTTAGGAAGGAAACCTCCATCAATACTAGAAAGAGTGATAACAGCTACTGGGCTTGAGAAAAGAAAATAATGACATAATCAAGATGTTGACATTCAACACGACTTCAAATAAAAGGTTAGGAAGGAAACCCATCAATACTGGAAAGAATGATAAAAGCTACAAAACTTGAGAAAACTATTTTCTTGCAAAAATTGTTTTAACAGGAAGATTTTATAAATTTCAATCGAAAGTAGCCCTGACTACTCGGTCAAGGAATGTCGAATATTTCCACATAAGGAACAATCTGATATTGCCATTACCGTCTCTCTGATCAGGATGTTCTCACTGTGTGCAATACAGATGCAGAAAGAAATATACCTGCGTCACATAGAATACACAAAACATTTGTTAGAGCAAAGCATGAAGAGATACTTGAATTACTAGAAAAGCTTGATTTACAATAGAAAGATAGTCGACTAAGCCGTAACTAAGAAGAAATAGACTGCATGTGGATAGAGAACAAGTTCATGGAATGCACAAAAAGAGAAAGAGCAGTAAGTTCAAGAAAATATTTTCTCGACAGGTTTATTTAACTTATACAGCGAAACGATTCTAAGAGATGTGGCTGCAATATCCAATGCAAGGACGAACGAAGGTAGAGTTATAAATGCGTACGATAGATTCTGGCGAGAAAAAAGAAAACTGTCTAACACAGTGAACCCACTTTCCTAACAGCAGGCCTAGTAACTGATTCAATATAATATTTCCACTTCATGTTAGTGTAAAACTTTATCTGGAGAAGTCGCAAGGAGTCACCTCCGAGGAATTAGCATAAGCTGTATAAGAAATAAGTTAATGTTACCATGGATATGAATAAACTAAAATAGAAAAATGAATACGGCAATCGTACGTTTTCTCACGGGGTTTATTTAACTTATACAGTGAACCGATTCTAAGAAAACTAGAAAACGTATCAGGTTTTTTTCAATCGGCAGACATTATCTTAACATAAAATACGCCGATAACTCAGAAAGAGAAATGAAAGAACTCTGAAACAAGGTATTAATGAAAAGCATGAAGAAAGGACTAACTATTACTTGTAAGAAAATAGAATGTGTGTGTGTGTGTGTGTGTTCGCCTTGTCTGGTTTCCACATGTCAAGAGCGCCTCTCTAGAATGAGAAAAACACTGGTGTTATATAGCTCTCCCAGACCCAGACCCACGCTATCTATTGGCTAATACCTGACCAGTATCGTTCATATGCAAATAGTCTGCGCCAACTATTCTAAGAAGAATGTCCATTGTAGAAGGGGCCGCAAGTCCTGGTGCTTGCAGTACCACACACAACCAACTCGGAGTCTTTTATCGGGCTGACCCGATTCTCCTGTTATAGTATGATCGTCAGTAAAAGAGACAAAGCAAGTTGTGAGCGACGTATTTTACGACTGCAAAAGCAAGCGGGTCTCGAAAGGCGCGAAATAGTAGCAAAACTTATCAGTTCCAAAATCTGGGCAACGTATTAAGACGTAAGAAACAAATAGTAATGAACCGCTATGCAATATCTAATCTCCTATAAAGTTTGGTGAATGCATTACAAGTTCTTCACAGATGTAGAAGAGAACTGAAGAGAAAGCGATATGATTCTGCCGACGAATGCTAAGAATAACATGAACAGAACATATCAGCAATGATAAAGTTTTAAAAAATAAGAACGGAAAAGAACTAAGGTTTACAATCAGATATTTCTACACATAATGAGGAAAGACGGTCTAGAGAATTTAAAAATCACAAGACATACTAAAAGCAAGTTATGGGGGATGGGCAACAATCAACAAATGAAGTTAGTTCCGGTTTGATATGACCATCTTAAGTGCCTTTTGATTTAGTGCTGAAAAGTTATCACTTCCCTGTTACACTTTCCGCAAAAAGTATATAAACAACCAAACCTTAGAACTTTGCTAGGAATGTCCAAAAAAAAATTAAGAAACGATATAACAAGTCTGTTGAAGAATAATTTGAATTCTATGCTACAGCCAAGAAAGAATTCCAGAAGCAAAGCAAAGAAATAGGAAAATTTCACTAAAAACAAAGAAAATAGTACTAAAGAGTACTACGCGATATCTGTTCTCCTGTATGACAGTGAGTGATGGACGATCTCCTCAAAGATGAAGAAGAAGAAACTTGAAGCAACAGAAATGTGGTTCTGCAGAAGGATTCTGAGGATACCGTGGATCGAACATGTGAGCAACGACGAGGTTTTAAAGAAAATGAAAACAAAGAGGAAACTTATACTTAACATCAGAAAGTGACAGTTGCGGCTTCTGTGGTATATAATGTGAAAGGAGAGCTTGTAAAATCTTTTACTCACAGGACAGATTGATGATAAGAGAGACAGAGAAAAACAGCGCATAACATACTTGACAAGATTAAGTAAATGGATTGCAGAACAGGATTTCGAAGAAATAATGAAAAGGCAAAATTTAATAAGAGCTATAAGGGGAAAATAAGAGCTATATGAGAACTAGAAGTCCTACGAGGATTCATTATTGACAACCACAATCTTGACAACATAAGGTATACAAATGACACAGTGTTGATAGCCAGCTCAGGGAACTACAAAAATTTCTACAGAAGGTAGTGAATAAAAGCGAGAAGAAAGACTAAACATCAACAGCAAGAAGACAGAATGCATGGTTGTTAGCAAAATATCTGGGCCGTGTTTAAACAGAGGACAGAAAGAGTGACACTGAGATCCGAAGGCGTATTGGGTTTACCAAGGAAGCATTCCAAAAATTAAACAATGTACTAGACATAGTAAAATTTTGCGAGAAACAAGGAAAAGAATACTAAACTGCTATGTGATATATGTCCTCCTGTGTAGCAGTAAGTGCTGGACGATCTCCTCAGGGATGGAGGGGAGACTTGAGGCAACAGAAATATGGCTCTATAGCAGAATATTGAAGATACCATTGACCGAACACGTGAGAAAATGTAAACAAAAAGGAAACTAATATTTAAGATCAGGAAGAAACAGTTGTGATTTCTAGGGTATGTACGGCTCAATATATTATATACTAGCAGTAGAGCCCGGCGTTGCCCGAGGATGTAACAGTAAGAGATAGATCAAGTATCGACCATTATAAAGACTGAAAAATAAAATTGACAAAGATTATTGTTTAAGGTTGACGGACACGCATGTCTTAATTAGTTTTGTTTTTGTTTGTTTTGTTTTTTTTGGGGGGGGTACGAATTGGTCAAACCCAAACTCAAACAAAAACATTGTTTTCAATCGTTATGAGTCTATTGATTGTATAGAATTTTATTATAAACAATTGTCTTGTAAATGGAATTTTTAAAGCATTCTGAATGTAAAAATAAAGAAAAAAGTGTGCAAGACAATAAGAAACTCTACCTGCCAAAACAAAGTGAAGTTTTGTTGAAATCGGTTGAAAAATGTAGGAAATCCTATCCCATATATAAACGAATACATACACACACATGCACAAACAAACAACCTGGGTTTTATAAGTATAATTCGATATGAGTTGTCCCCCTTTCATTCTGGCGACAGAATCGTGTTTTATCGTGTTTTCAAATTGATTTCGTGCAAAAACAATTGTGTTTTTCCAATTTTTGGCGCTGTCAGAACCACCGCAAGGTAATTTTACGCAGTCCTGTGAAGTTTTGTTGAAATCGGTTGAAAAATGTAGGAAATCCGATCCAATATATAAACGTACAGACACACACACACACACACACACACACACACACACACACACACAATCTGCGTTTTATAATAAGTAAGATTACGTATCATTGTTATATGATAGAGCAGCTCACCATTAAGGTGACGTCGGTGTAAAACTTTATGAAGCCTAATAACCTCTACTCTTATGAGGGTATACCAAGCACATGCAACACAGTCACTGGCTTTGCTAAAAGCAGCGCATAACCTTGTAGGTGGAACCCAATTGGAAATACATTCAGGTCGGGTACCGCAGACCGCTCAGGTGATCTCCAACTGAAGGTGTTCCAAAGTATCTAGTTGTGACTCCCAAATCATCTTGACTGCTTCCTAATTCAAACTTAAAAAAAAAACAATCAAACCTCTCTACACCCTGCTATGATGTCCTCCCTACTATCCCAGCTTATGAACAGTGAGGTACAGTGCATCACTCACAAGAGGTCACGTTCAACTAACAAAGAGAACTAACAAACAAGTCGTTTTTACGGAAAAGTGTATTTACTGTAGCTAGTCTTAATTTTAAACCATGGCTTTTACAAAGACTAACAACTGGTATCGTGGAAAAAGTAACCTTACTCACCAATCAAGATGTGTTTTGCTATAAGGCAATGGAGTTCAAGCTCGTTTAGTAGACGAACTCACTAGTGTAGGGAGTTTGATCCTCAGTAGATGACCCAATGCTTAGGTAATAACTAGGTAAATGTTAGATTCAATTATACAGAAAAACGGACATAAATATAACAATGTGACAGAAAATATGAAGAAATAATCCACTGCTGCGCGATTCCGAGATTCGAACTCGGGACAAAATATCTGGATTGAACTAGACATAGCATCAGTATGCTGTTTCTGGAGCAATTCTTTGTTTCTTTGTTCTTCAGGAAAAATGCCTGACTAATGTTTGGGTTACGACGACATTTCTTATTACGAAGAAGTGAAGACAACAGCAAAGACAGAAGAATAAAACAATGGCTATTTCTGATTTTTTCCCGCTCGAGAAAACTAATGAAATATTTATCTATTTATCTATTTATTTTTATATTTATCTATTTATTTATAGCACGTTTTTTAAATTCATAAATGCACTGAAAGAAAGAAAGATGTCTACACACATACATATGTATAAAGTTCCCTAGTTATCTGAGAGCATACTTTTAGCGAGCCATAAATGGAATATGACCAAAAATAATGTTACATCGCATCCAATAAACTTGCATATTCTCGTTTCCCGTTCAGGGGTATCGAAAACTTTATCTCTTATATACTGTACCTATGAACACTAATGGCTATGTCCCAATCCTCGTAAATATGTTGGACACTATTCTAAGTGGGGGTAATGTGCTGTCTAAGTAGTCCACCACTAGCAGTGGTTTACCTACTTCACGCTGCTGGCGAGTATTGTATGTTGCTGATGTTATAAAGATTACCATTTCATTTTCTAACCTCCGTTTTGGTTATTCATCATTCAGTAACCCTTTCTAGGTTAAAACAATAATATATATATATATATATATATATATATATATATATATAACGAACATCTTGGTAATTCATATGGATAAGCCAAGGAGGATGAAATCATGAGAGCTCAATGTTAAGTCAGAGCGAATAATTTAATTTAAAGAAAAACAGACCACTTTAAGGCTCCATTAGTTATAATTTATTTCACCGGAGAATTTTATTCTTCTCTGGATCTTCAGACTTCACTTTCAAAGGTGAAACGAAAAGTGAATTTAAAATTTACACTTTTGGAGGGCAGTATTAAGCTTATATATGTTGACGTAGAAGGTGGTGAGGAATAGTGTGAGTGACATGGTCGAGTTTAGAGAGGGAAGGGAGAGTTTTAAAATGTATTTTTATTTTTATTACAATACTTAATATTGAGGATATATATATATATATATATATATATTGAGGATATATATATATATATATATTGAGGATATATATATATATATATATATATATATACTGTACTAATGAACACTAATTTTCATTTTCTAACTTCTGTTTTGATTATTCCTTATTCAGTAACCCTTCCTAGGTTACAACATATATATAAATCATAGTTGCGTTTGAAATTTTTTATCAAGGTGATAAAGCCACTAAGATGCAAAGTTTACTGATTGCGAAAGAAACTGAGAAAACTTTATTGAGGAGAAAGGACAATAAAAGATCAGTTTTCAAAGAGTGATGCTAAAATATTTAATAGTATTCTTTTCGAAATGAAACCGGGGTGTTTTTCTGATTTGGAATAAATAATACTTCTTTTATAAAGACTGAAGGTGAATCTTTCTTTTACGAGAAAAATATAGTCGGGTTTTTTTTAAAAATGAGACTGGGTTTTCTAATTCGCGATAAAATATTTGTGTTCTTAAAGATTAATCTGGATTTTGTATTTTCCTGAAAAAAAAATATTTGGATTTTTAGAAATGATGATGGAGTCTTTTATTTAGCAAGAAAGGAAGAGTAGTTTTCTTTATAGAATTGAAGATGGATTTTTTTCTTTTGACTTTTTCTATGAGTCGTGTCTCTTCAGGGCATAAATGATCATAGCTCTTGTTATATACCGTACCTATGGACAGTAATGGTTATGTCCCAATCCTCATAAATACGTTGGACACTATTGTAACTGGAGGTAATATGCTGTCTAAGTAGATCACCATTAGTAGTAGTTTACCTACTTCACGCCGCTGGCAAGTATTGTATTTTGTTGATGTTATAAAGATTACCATTTCATTTTCAACGTCTGTTTTGGTTATTCCTCATTCAGTAATCCTTCCCAAGTTATAGCACCTACCAATCTGATGCTGGGGAAAAAATAGCTGTCAGCTATAAGTACTCGGAAATAGTCACCTTCTTTCAGGGCCAATTTAGAGACCTCTGGTGGGTATGTGGCGTCTGCCCGTAGCATGAGAGAATGAAACATTCTAAACCGTAAGGATGGACGAACGAAGACTAAAAAAATCATTTAGTATGACCCTCAACAAATCGAGAAGTATCGCTTACCATTTCAAGGTAACAGGGCCTAATTCAGACGTGTGATGCACGAGGATATTAGATACAAATCCTAAGAGTTTAATATAACGCATTTAAAAATCTGGGAGATCTTGTGTTATCCGACCAAAGTGTTTGTCAAACAAAAGAACACTGAGGAACCCGACATTCTCTGGTTCTTCACTGATGAGAAGAACTTTGACCAGGACCAGAAAGTGTACATGCTGAACGAAAGGGGAGCCCAAACCAACTTCACGTTGTTGTCCCAGTTCTTTCAGGACATAAAGGTCAATACTCCTTTCTACACTGAAGATCTGGACAGGGTGGCTAAACTCAGGATTGAAGGGAAAAGGTGTAACTATTCCCTAATAATTCCGACATAGTCCACGTCATCCATGAGTGGCTGGGAAAAAATTTTCACGATCGTATCAACTGCAGGATGTAGCCTACTGTCTACCACTCTGAGGCGTCGACGATCAACTAGCGCCCCACAATACCAATGAATCGTTGAGAGCCGACATCGGAAACGTGATGATAAATGTGCACGAGAAACATCTGATCGGGGTTGCAAGTCATTTCGGGAGCCGCATCAAGGGTTTTATTGATATTTTTTATCATTTCACCCCCAAGCAAGGCGATCACGCCAAAAGGACGTTGAGAAAGGACAATAAAAGAACAGGATTCAGCTTTTTGGTGTTGTTTAACTCAGCTGAATATGCATACAAATGTTTTGAAAATCTACTGATTTTTAAACCATATTTGTATCGCTTCGTTTTTCCCTATATAATAATTTGTTCTCAATTACCTGGCACATGCTGCACATCTCTAGGAAGAGCTAGAAAAGAAGTAACTGTGAGAGACTTGAGAAAGAAAGAAAGAAAGAAAGACGAGAAAAAAATAGAAAGAAAGAAAAAAAGAAAGAAAGAAAGAAAGAAAGAAAGAAAAAGAGAGACAAAAAGAAAAACAAAAAAGAAAGAAAGAAAGAAAAGAAAGAAAGATAAAAAGAAAGACAAGAAAAAAAGAAAGAAAGAAAGAAAGAAAGAAAAGAAAGAAAGATAAAAAGAAAGACGAGAAAAAAAGAAAGAAAAATAGAAAGAAAGAAAGAAAGAAAGAAAGAAAACCAAAAAAGAAAGAAAGAAAGAATGAAAATGCAGAAAACAGCAGTTAAACCATGAGAGTGTTTCAATTAGATTCGAAATTCGGAGTCTGTCTCCACGGTGGACCAACTGCAAAAAGCTTGGCCTCTTTTTCTCTCTCTCGTTTGTTTCGTTTAAAGGAAAACATATTTCGTGACGTCCACAAATATCAGCGGAGTAATTCAATTGCGATTGAAGTGATGAGGTAAATTGAATAATCAACTCCACACTAATCAAATAAATTTTGAATATTTTACAGCGTATTCATATTGGTGGAAAGATGCCTGAAAATTAAAACCGTTAAAAGTAGGTCTATTATCTATCTATATAAAATCTCTCTCTCTCTCTCTCTCTCTCTCTCTCTCTCTCTCTCTCTCTCTCTCAAACTGTTCGCCGGATATATTTCTGACGTTTGGAAATATATACAGAATTTTTACAGCAACATAATTAATATCGCGAGCATCACCAACCTGGCCACGTTTTTCATTAATAGATGTTTGTTTCGTTTTTATGGATTTGTCATCAAACAGCCACTAGAGACATTTTCTTTCAATGAAACTTATACGCGTGTGGGATTACATCAGACTTCAAAAATATAAATACGACGTCAATCGCCATCTCCTGTCTTCCTAAAACCTCATCTTCCGTTGTCCTTTTCTCCTCACTAAAGTCTTCACATTATTTCTCTCCCAGTAACACCTGGTGTCTTAGTGCCATTATCGCTTTGGCTCGGGTGAAATGATTAAATAAAAAAACCGGTAGAGAAAAAAAAAGTCTCTCTTTTACTTTCTCTGTGGTTCCCTGCTTTTGGCCTTGTGCCAGAACTAAGCTATGCATATTAAATCACCGTAGGAAACAAAACATTGTGCAGTCTTCCTCAGAGGAGATAATCCCCGGGCAAGCAAGACTTCTTAATTTTCTCATGCCTCTCTCTCTCTCTCTCTCTCTCTCTCTCTCTCTCTCCTCATATATATATATATATATATATATATATATATATATATAACATTTTACGTACAAGCGACTATATGTCTGGAGTCGATGGCTATTGTAAAACATTTGCGACTGAGTACTTTCAGCAGTACTTCTGGTCATTAACAATATCAGCGAAATGATATTGATATTATTTCTTTTCCAGTCATTAAATTCTTTCAAATTCAACACTTCTCGTTTATCTGTCATTGATCAACCTGTTTCGTATCGACTAAAAATAAAAAAAAATTATATAACTTACATTATATTTTGAGCCACAAAATTGACTCAGCATTTGCAGCAAACATACAGATATGTTCACACGAAAATGCAACAAGCTTACGATAAAAATAAGCTAGAAAAAAAAAGACAAAATTATAAATACGCACACGTTCCAGTGGCTATTTTTCTGTAAAACAGAAGTGGACATTACTATTACGTCCGTGTCACCGACAGTCGACCGCGACATGATGTTTTTCATAGTTTTTCCACAAAAACCAAATTCCCTATACTTGCGTATTTAAGTCGTTTATTTTGACCATGACGGCTAAATGATCGTGTTACACAAGCGCAGAGAAATTGAAGGTAATTTTATATGCAAAGGAAAATAAGAGCCGAGATGTGATTATTACTTTAAAAGTTCTGAATACCTGACGCAACTCAGGTACGGAAACAAGTACAAATTTCAGGCCATCTCGAAGTAGGTAGACAGAAGGAAAATTTCAGTATTTGCAAAGTTAGAAAAGACCTCATCGAATGGTTGAAAGTGTGCAGAATGAACGACACTAATTTGCACAGCTGACACGCATCCCAGGGCACTGGAAATCGCAAAGAAGACACAGACAATGGACAGTGTTTTTCCTTATTTTTATTTAATCGTTTCACCCCCAAGCAAGGCGACAATGCCCCTAGGATGGGGGGGCGTTCAAGGAGTGAAAATAAATGAAAAGATTTTAGTGAGGAAAAATGAGTCAAAAAATAAAGGAAAAGCGTTCAGAAAGACAGAAAATGGCGACTGACGCTGCATTTAAATTTTTAAAGATTGTAGGCGGCAAGGAAGCAAAACATCAGACGAGAAGTGTGAGAAAATAAACTATTAGAATAGAACTGATTGTTGCCTCTATCTAGTTCAACAGTAAAACGATGAGACCTAATTGCCAATCAAGTAGTACGTTTAAATACCTGAATATGAGGCATTAATGAGAACAGCTCATTAACATAATTGCCATGAAAATATTTGTAGAAAAGACAGATGGTAGCTACGTCATTTCATTAAGAAAGTGACTGAAGACGAGATGCCAGGTCAGGATCTATTACATTGCAGATCCGTCTTTGGATTCTATCAAGAATCTAGAGATATATAGCAGGAGCACTGTAGCAGAAGCCGTAAATTCACGCAGAGTATGAAACCCAAAAAATCCAGGGAGATGTCATGGGATTGTTTTAGCTAATATGTAATTAATATAAAGAGAGCTATAACTATAGCTTACGGGCTACTTTGAGTCAGTGTACGTTGAATATCTACGGCTACTAAGTTTGATCATCATAACAAACCCCAAACCTGATATATCAGCAATATTCATTGCACGGGTGAATGGTAGATTTCTAAAAGGGCAAAAGGGAGGGACATAATTTATCAGTGTGTTGCCTGCAGATTTCGACGACAGCTTATTGGAGTTTCTGAAACTGTCATGACGTCTATCTTGACGGTCAGCGTCTATCTTGATTTAAAAATTTGTTACGCATTGGTTAGTTTGGAAAACAATAGTTTTTTCAGACTGTCCAAATATCTCTAGTTTTTTTTTAATTCTCTCTATAGAGAAAACACTGAAGCAATTTGTTAATTAGTCAGTTAAATACACAATTACAATAATAAATTATAACAAATATATTAATGGATAACTTGCATTATTTACATTATTCGGACTGTTATCCTCATCTTTATTGCCATATTCACGTTTCGGCCGTTATACGCTCCGACCTTCTTTAGGTGATTGGAATTTCGAATCGAACCCTTTATTTCGTCCAGCGGGGTAGATTGTTCTAGTTCCACGTGGCATGCCTCTTCCGGATGTTTTCCATTTAACCAAACACTCCAAGTTTATTTCACTACTGGTATTGAACTCACAACTCTTTGGGTCTAGTCACTGGATCTAACCAACGTCTTTATTCACTGAGCCATATGTCCTCAGAGAAAATTCTTTTTTTTTATTTCTTGTGTAGTATATACACCCCGAATCTTTATGCTTAAAATCTTTAAATAACGTACATATTATAGATGAATAATCACGATAATTATAACACAATTAAAATAAATACCTTAATTCCCCATGTATAATACGGATTTTTTCTAAAAAAAATAATAAGCAAAATCAGGTGTGCGTATTATGCACAGCTACAAAAACATCTTTAAAAAATTGCCGTAAAATAAATAAGAATTATCATAAAACTAAATTCTATGTTTAAAACCTTCTTTTTTTTTTAAAATAAGAGTCGGAAATGCATGAGTAGAAGCCTTTTCCTACACTTTCAGCACAATTTCCGGTGTGCGTATTATGGGTGAAGGTGTATTATAGATGGGGAATTACGGTAATGTAAAATCACTGTAACTGTTATTCGTAACGTGCATATACTTTGAAAAAAACTGCAAACACCTAATACACACACTAATAAAATAAAAAGTATCGCGACTGGAGGTATAAAAAGAAAACTACAACACATATCAATTAAGCATTTAATCTCCTTCGAAATAGTCCCCTTCTGAAGCCCCACACTTTATCCAGCGTCGTTTATATTGGTGAAAGCATTTCTGGAACTCCTTTTATCGCATTCACTTGGATCTCCTCGACGTTTTGATTCTGGAAGAGGAAAATGTCGAAAGTGGCGTGAACTGGGGAATATGGTGGCTGTTGGAACAGGGAAGTGTTGTACTTGTCCCAAAATTGCTGCACAGGCCATGGTTACTGATGGAACCTCCGTGGTGTGGTGAGACAACCACACTCTTTCCTTTCAGTCATTGCAATGAACAACAGAAGTGAGCAAGAACATTATACAACTTAGTGTATTTGCGCGACAGAGTGCAAGATCAGTCTGTGCCAAACAGCTCCACTCTGCATACATTATCACAGCAACAATCCCGATATTTTTGATCAGACTGCGAGACGTCGTGTATATATAAATATATAGATAGATGATTGATATTAGTGGTCAATGTACGTATATATATATATATATGTATATGTATATATATATATGTGTGTGTGTGTGTGTGTGTGTGTGTGTGTGTGTGTGTGTGTGTGTGTGTGTGTGTGTGTGTGTGTGACATTATATAGGCTCCTGAAAAACTAATTTCGGCTGAGCTCTCTGGCGAGGAAGTGTGGGTTTGTAAACCGTGACTATTATGGCTGATATAGCGAGACTCTTTGGCAAAAGCGAATTGAGTACTGTCGGTCACTGTGTATTTATCTAAAAATAAATACGCTAGAATTCATCTCCATCCCTGCCGATGGCTTAGTGGTAGAATCTCCGACTGACACCAATTCAGTCGGGTTTCGATCCTAGCTAGAGGCAACCGGATGTCTAGGCACACTGAAGAGCTGCGAAACAGTCTGTCTGTGGATGACATTATATATATATATATATGCATATATAAATTCCCCAGAGGATAGAATCCAGGTCGAAATCAATGTCCAGGATAGAGTAAGAATATAACATATATGTATGTATGTGCGAGTAGATATAGATTTGCTGTGTATCTACGTATACGTTTTGGGGGATATAAATAGTAAGTCCTTACTAGATTAAATATTCTTTAATTTTTATATGTTTAAGCTAAATTTGTAACCTCTAGGTAATATTACTTGCTTTGTCAAATTTTCTTGATTTCACATCAATTCTCTTATAAATGCCCTCGTTTTTAGTTTGCGCCCCCCCCACACACACACACATTTTTTTTCCCTCTCTCTCATCTTCTGGGTTTTAAGTTTAGATCATATCGTTTTTTATTGTGCGTAGTGTCACCACAAATGTATCCACACGTTTCTGGTGTCTGTTTTTTTAATTTTAGGTCAGCGATTCGGTAGCGAATTATGCATCGAAAAATAATTCATATTTATCTGTATCTCACTCTTTTAAACCGTTATTTAACTCCTCTCTTTAAAACTTCTCTCTGTTTAATTTTAAAAGGTTGCGACCTAGAATCCAATCTAATAGCACGCTTAAATTCATGCGGTTTGGGAAGCAGCAAAAGTAACTCGTTAGAGCAGTTGCCATGAAAGTACTTGTAGAAAAGACAGAGGGAAGCCACAGCACGTCTAATTTTTATCTGGCATTATTTGTTAAACGTTATTTTTAACGAGTATGCGTGTTTGATTTGTTAGCTTTATTTGTTCATTTATTCAGCGCTAACAACTGAAACACGGGTACCCGTTAAAAATAACGTGTATAGCAATAAGAAATAATATCGGATAAAATCATTTCAATACACACACACACACACACACACACACACACACACATACAGATAGATAGATAGATAGATAGATAGATAGATAGATAGATAGATGAGATAGATGAATAGATATGGACAGACTGAGATAGATAGATAGATAGATAGATAGATAGATAGATAGATAGATAGATAGATAGATAGATGAATATGGACAGACTGAGATAGATAGATAGAATAGATAGATAGATAGATAGATAGATGATGATGGACAGACTAGATATGGATAGATAGATAGATAGATAGATAGATAGATAGATAGATAGATAGATAGATAGATAGATATGGACAGACTGGATAGATAGATAGATAGATAGATAGATAGATAGATAGATAGATAGATAGATAGATAGATAGATATGGACAGACTGAGATAGATAGATAGATGATAGATAGATAGATAGATAGATAGATGGACAGACTGAGATAGATGGATAGATAGATGGATAGATAGATGGATAGATAGATATGGACAGACTGGAGATAGATGGATAGATAGATAGATGGATGGATAGATAGATGGATGGATGGATAGATAGATGTGGACAGACTGGGGATGATAGATAGATGGATAGATGGATAGATGGATGGATGGATAGATAGATAGATGGATATGGACAGACTGAGATAGATGGATGGATGGATGGATGGATGGATGGATGGATAGATATGGATGGATGGATAGATGGATGGATGGGATGGATGGATGGATGGATGGATGGATGGATGGATGGATGGATGGATGTGGACAGACTGGGATGGATGGATGGATGGATGGATGGATGGATGGATGGATGGATGGATGGATGGATGGATGGATGGATGGATAGATGTGGACGGGATGGATGGATGGATGGATGGATGGATGGATGGATGGATGGATAGATAGATGGATGGATAGATGGATATGGACAGACTGGGATGGATGGATGGATGGATAGATGGATGGATGGATGGATGGATGGATGGATGGATGGATGTGGACAGACTGGGATGGATGGATGGATGGATGGATGGATGGATGGATGGATGGATGGATGGATGGATATGGATGGACTGACTGGGATGGATGGATGGATGGATAGATGGATAGATGGATGGATGGATGGATATGGACAGACTGGGATAGATAGATAGATGGATGGATGGATGGATAGATGGATGGATGGATATGATAAAAATATAGTGTTAAGGTATGCTATATTTATGGGTAAAAGTCTTCAATATCAGACATACAGCATATGTAAATACATACGGTCTATCTCTTATATTAAGCATGTTTGCCAATAAATATAGCATATATTAAAACTATATTCTTATCATATTTAGCACCTGATAAATAGTGCAGTACTCTCCCTACATCTATAACCTGTCATGGACATAAAAATATTATCTTCGACAACTCTCTAAAAACATATCCATCCCATCATTCTCCACCTGCAAACTAAAATTAAAAGAAAAATTTGAAAGCCTCATAAAAAGAATGAGATTGAAAGTGCATTTCTTCTTAAACCAAAAAACTTAAGACAAAATTCGCACCCAAGAAAATATACGGTTTTAAAACAAATAATGTCTTCTGCAACACATCGAATTAGACAAATTCAAAAGAGATTTAACTTGATAAGAAACCTAAAATTTCATAGAGAGTTAAAGAAAATTTTTAAGAAAAACTAAAAGGAAATAAAACTGAAATAAAAATATTCATCTAACGTTTTCATGGCAGCGGACAAAACTAGAAATTGATATAAAATTAGCACAACGTCCCCACTAAACAAATACAACAAAGGACGAGAAAAACATAAGCTAAAATATACAAAAAAGCATCAACAGACACAGAATACGATACTAAGACAGAAGTTAAAAATTTATCCAACCATTAGACGTAAAGGAGTCAATATATTGCATGGCTAAATTACAAACATTCATTACACTAAAAGACCACACGAAAAACTTCAAAATAAACCCCACACGCAGAATGATAAACCCAATTAAAAGTAAACTGGGTAAAATAAGTAAAATGATATTAAAAAGGAAACTAAGAACTAAGTTAGGACTAAAACAGTGGAAAAACACAAACGCTACTTTTGACTGGTTCCGCAACCTAAAAAAAAATAATTGTGAATTTACACAACTAGTATCTGTCTATATTTCTGAGAAAATTTATTATATACACTATTTACATTATTCGGACTACTGTCCTCATTTTTGTCTCCATATTTATTACAACGTTTCGGCCGTTGTACGCTCCGGCCTTCTTCAGGTGGTTGGAATGTCGAACTGAACCCTTTATTTCACTCACTGGGGTAGACTGTTCTAGTTCCACGTGCCATGTTTAATGGATGTCAGTTGTCTGTTATCAAAAATATAATGGAAAATAAGGAAAACGGCATCAGCCTACAACAATAAGTCCAAAAACTGTAAACTTCGTATGGAGGGAAAATATCTATAATTACCTCCCCAGACCAACACAAATTACTAAATAAACAATCAGAACTCATTTCAAAATGCAAACACGAAAAACAAATTTTTACTACGTTACTTAAAACTCGACAACCAAAGACCGCCATAAAAAAAGTGCAAATACATGCATTATATACAGTTTAGATACTGTGAGATATTTTATACAAAGCCAATACTTTAAAATAAACAAATAAGATAACTAACCGTCGAAAAAAATAAACAAAAAATCTAAATAAATAAATGAAGAAATAATAAAGAGACTAGGAATGAAAACAAGCAAATGTAATGATAATCAAGAAGAAATAATTACGTAATAAATAATGAGTAAAATGTGAACAAATAACAGCATTCGAATTCATAATTATTTCAACTCAATAGACTCTAGAATAATTTGAAACATAACCGTTAGCGTCCAGACAATAACCGTTAGGATAATGCAATAAACATTTTTACCCATAATGCACTATTGACCAGCGTAAATATACATAGTTGAGCCAAAACACAACTCACAAGACCTGAAGATTGCGTTGAAGCATGAAACAGACTGTCGCTGCTTGGTGTTGAACACAATGTCCATAATCTATAAAATTTAATTTACCGACTCCGGGGGTTCGCGTCAAAACGCTGGTAAGAGTCAAATGTTGAATATATATATATATATATATATATATATATATATATATATGAGATGAGGCGTTATGCTTACTTGCATTATTTACATTATTCGGGCTTTATCCTTATCTTTATTCCTAAATTCACAATGTTTCGACCGTTGTACACTTTGGCCTTCTTCAGGTGATTTCTGTTCGAAATCACCAATCACCTGTAAATATGGCAATGAAGATGAGGACCAACAGTCGAATAATGTAAATAATTCAAGTAAATATATATATATATATATATATATATGGCAATGATATATGGGGATATATATATATATATATATATATATATATATATATATATATATATTAATATATATCTATATATATATATATATATATATATATATATATATATATATATATATGGGGGGAAGAGAGAAAGAAAGAAAGGGCGACATATTAAATTTCATTAATTTTTCTAGTTGTTAGTCTTTAACTGGAAACCAAACTATATAAGAAAAAGCGAATAAAATATGTATAATGGAGAAAGGTCGACATATAGAAAGGAAAAAGCAGAAGAGGCAAACAAGAATCCTATTCTCGTGCCAGAAATTGCTGCCATATATGGTCTGGGGCACCTTCTGTTTACCTCGGAGTTCTTGACAAGATCCAGAGACGGATATGTAATATAATTGGCCCCGATTTGGCATCTCGTCTACAGTCACTCTCTCACAGACACGCCGTCGCCTCTCTCTGTCTTTTCTACAAATACTTCCATGGTAATTGCTCCGATGAGCTGCTTTCGTTAGTCCCGAGACTCCATGAATCCAAGCGCCCTACGAGGCTGGCATCCCGCTCCCACCCTTACACTGTAGAAACTTTTAAATGTAGCCGTCTCTTCTACTCCAATAACTTCATACCTCGCACCTCTCACCTGTGGAACACCCTTCCCAATTACTGTTTCCCTGAGAGCTATAATCTCCAACTATTCAAATGTAATGTCAATCGACACCTCCAGTTACCTTGATCTACCCACTATCCTTCTCTTCATCCTTTCTTCTATCACTCCTATCTGCTCTTGCTCCAAATCTTCTGCAACCCCCTGCATCCTAGTGGTTTCACGCCTTGCTCGGGGCGTAATGCTTAAAAAAAAAAAAAGAAAAGATTGCACGAAGATGCAATTCACTAATCGAAAACAACAATTGAGGCCGCTCTTATCTATATCTAAAAAATAAAAGATGTCTGTGTGCGTGTGTGTGTGTGTGTGTTTCTCTCTCTCTCTCTCTCTCTCTCTCTATCTCTCTCTCTGTATGCTATTTATGCACGTCTACATTTCTCGACCAATTTCGATGAAAGTGTACACACATGTTGCAAATTTACCAAGATAGATCAAGACTAACTTTTCAATCTCCAGTGCCACCCTACACCCCGTGTATGACAGAAAAATCGATAAAACTGAAGGTGGTTACGACATTTTGCAAAAACCAAGGCAAAATTACACGCGAACAAATTTTTTACTGCATGAACTGATGTTCTTTGCACTTAATGCAAAACATAGATTATTTAATAAGGTTTATGTAGAGTGCTTGATAGTTTTCCTGCGAAATTGACTTCACACAAAAATAATACAGAAAACTGTAAAAAAAAAAAATCGGGTTTTTCGGACTTCTTGAAATAAAAACTTCCTATTTTTTTTCTTCAAACCTGCCGCAAAAACTTGCCACCATGCAAGAAATAAGATAGTGTGGTTTTAGTACTGTTCGCCTTCCTGCGTATAACGAAAAACTATGAAAAACTGTTCAAAAAGCCCGTTTTTTTTTGCCATAATTCCCTGGTTTTTCATCCTATGCTTTCCAAATTTTTTCTTGTAAATTACATATGACATGCAAATTATTTTGAGTGAAGTTTAGTGGACGAAATCTGCGACAAACTAGGTCCCATATTGACTTTTACCAGTGGTTTATTCATATGATTTTAGCCAATGGCTTCTTCATATGATTCCATCCTAAATTGGCATTCGAACAGCCTTTGAGGCAAAGATTGTTTGAGAAGAATTATTGAAGCGTTAAAAGGGAAAATTTCCCGAAGGACATTTATTAAAACCAGCTTTACAGTAAAGCGAAGAAGGAGGGGATGTTCATGCGTATACAGTTGAATCAAGCTCCGATGCGTCATCCCTGTTATTGCTTGATTATTAGATTTGTGAACAATGCTATACTATTTGAAAGTGATTACGGCTATAAGAAATTTACTGAATATTTAAAACATTGAAACAATTTAACTTCGGGCAACAACCATGTAAAAAGGTTTTATCGATGGAATTCCTTTATTAAAAACAATCAAACACTTGCGAGGGACATACCGTAAAAAAGATAAGGGGTTTAGCTTAGTATACCAACAGATTATATATGCAAGCGGGGACACAGGCAGACATTTCTAGACAGGAGGTGCGGTTATACAATTGCAGCCACGTACACCTGGATAACGCCGGGTACCTCGGCTAGTCTGCTGTAAATCCAAATGCCAAGATATTTAAGACAAAAATCAAATATTATGGCTCATAGCCTTTTTCTCAAATTTCAATCCTACCTGTTATCAATCACTGTAACTATTTACAACCTAACTGTCGATAAACGTACTAGTGAATTTTCTCCTGGGAACAGTGCTAATGACCACTGTATAATTGTGATTCTAGGGCTTTCTGATAAAGGTCCTAATCAGGGGATATAATCATTTGAAAACATTTACTAAACGTCACCCTGTGCATTCGAGTAAGAAGTTCGGAATTTATCAACACTGAATTTTTCAACGCTTTATTTAATCGAAGAGATCGATGAAATAATAAGACCTGTCATCATATATACAAATATGCGTGCGTGTAAAGGAAGGCGGGCTGACAGAGAAGTAGAAGTATGTAATTCAATATAGGAAAATGGGTCAGTAAAAAATCGGGTATCGAAGATTTTACGAGTACTGGGATATACTGATAATAAGTTGTAAAAGTGATGATATTATCCAGAAAGAAGAGTTTAGCTGTTTTCTTTGAATATCGGCATTAGCAATGTAACCTTTTAAATAGATAAACATCAACTACTGATATCATCTGGTTTGGTTTCTTTTGTTTTACGGCATATCAACATCAATGGGTCATTTAATGCCGACAACTTTTTTTTTCCTGGTAATATTTTTGTTTTCTCAAAAATCCATTTCTGTCAATATTTTTTCCTCAAAAATATATAGCTGTTAATATTATTTTTTCAAAAACGTATAGCTGGTAATATTATTTTTTTCAAAAACGTATAGATGGTAATATTATTTTTTCAAAAACATATAGCCGGCAACACCATTCTTTTTTAAAAATATGTATATCAGGTAATATTTTTAAAAAAAAAAATGTACAGATGGTAACTTTATTTTTTCAAAAACGTATTATCAGAGGCCTTGCTGTTGGACCTAGTTTATCGTCTTACCCAGGACGCGGATGTTGTTTATTGTCTTACCCAGGACGTGGATGTAGTTTATCGTCATACCCAGGACGCGGATGTAGTTTATCGTCATACCCAGGACGCGAATGTAGTTTATCGTCTTACCCAGGCGGCGGATGTAGTTTATCGTCATACTCAGGACGCGGATGTAGTTTATCGTCTTACCCAGGACGCGAATGTAATCTGAGTGTTAACTATTTGCCCATAGCCGGGGCCCTAACAGGTGCTACCTTCCCAGATCAGGGTGGACCTAGGAACAACAGCAATTAAGAGGTGGTTCCACGCTCCTCAAAACCTCCTAATCAGAGGCCTTACTGTTGGACGTAGTTTATCGTCTTACCCAGGACGCGGATGCAGTTTATCGTCATACCGAGGACGGTGATATCATCTGATGCGCCAACGTGACTGAGGACACAGATCGTTAACTAGATACAGAATAAAGGATTAAGAAAAGCTTCCTTGGATATACAGGATGAGTCAAAATTATATTAACACTAGTATGAGAGGATGAGTCAAAATTATGTTACCATTAGTATGAGAGGAATCATTTATTCAGAGTTTACTGAAGAGTCTCCACCTGCACAATTGATGCAAAGAAACCAGCGAGACATCAGTACAATTTAGTGACTTGACATACATTTCACGGGGAATGTTTGATATTACACCTTTTATTCTGTCCTTGAGTTCTTCGATGGCTATAACTTTTTTGCTATACGTGATCCTTTACTATACCCCATAACCAGTAGTCAGAGGGTGGCAGATCAAGGAATTTTGGTGGCTATGCCAACGGTCCGCCTCGACCTATCCAACTATTTGGGAAACTTTGATCGAGACAATCGCGAACAGTACGGGCAAAATGAGTCGATGCACCATCCTGTTGGATATAGCCTGTTCGTCTGATTTCTAGGGGTATGTTGTCAAGGGCAAACTCTTGCAACATTTGTTAGTAAGCATTTGCAGTGACCGTTGGAGTTGTAAAGAAATACGGTCCAATTATACCCTGTGACTCTGAATGAATGATTTCTCTCATACTAGTGTTAACATAATTTTGACTCACCCTGTATATTAGTTCTTTCTTTATACTGATTCAAATCGCGAAATGAAAGTTATCTTGAATGGCCACTCTTCTAGATCTTTCTGCATAAATGCAGATGTTCCCCAGGGTTCTATCCTTGGACTTACGTTGTTTCTATTTTTTTATAAATGATCTTCCTGGTGTTATCAGTTCTCAACTCTGTATCTCATAACACAACTCTTTTCTGATGTCTTAATAGTAAGTCTAATCGGTTCGATAATCGAATTGGCAGCTGATTTCAATAATAACCTACAATCCGTTGTTAAATGGGGCAAGGAGTAGCTTGTTAATTTTAACGCCTCAAAAACGAAACTGCTTTCTTTTAATAATCTGGGAGAATTCTTTTTACCTTCTATCAGTATGGCTGATGCTAACCTCCAGGAAAACGACCCATTGCACCTTTTCGGAATAACGTTTTCAGCTGACATGAAATGGAAGGAGTATATTGAATCAACTGCTAAATCTGCAGCTAAGAAAGTTGGTTCACTATGTATTGCTAGACAGTTTTTTCGCCAGAATACATCTCACATATTTTTAAGTCTAACATTCTCTCTTGCTTTGAATATTGCTACCACATATTGTCTGGTGTTTAGAGATTCTTGATAAAATCCAAAGAAACAGCAATGTTATTTGTCCTGACCTGGCAACTCAGTCTCAGTTCCTTTCTCATAGCCTTAACGTAGCTTCCCTCTGCCTTTTCTATAAATACTTCCATGGTAATTGTTCTGATCTACTTTCCGCTATGGTTGTCTAGACTTTATAAAATTAAGCACACTAGTAGATTAGCGGCAATATCCCATCATTTTATTGTTGAAATGGTTAAATGTAACCGGAAGTTCTATGTTAACAGTTTCTTCTCTCACATTTCTCCCTTGCTGAAGACACTTCCGGTTTCTTGCTTCCCAGTCAACTTCGATCTTCAAAAATTTAAATGAAATGTCAATCGGTATCTTCTGTCTTCTTAAAGGATAAATTTTTAAAAATTGCTTTAAAATTTTAATTCACTCTAATGATTATATTTATAAGGACACAACGACTTGTGGCGGCAGCAAAGAACAACCAAATAATTGAGATTATATTTTAATAGAGACTGTACTTAAATATAATAAAATGATAATTCGATTTAAGTCATTTTCGAAGATACGTCGTTTTGGGTTTTTTTGTTTTTTTTCTTAAATCTTATATGGAAAAATAAAACTCGCCTTACGTCGTTTTACTCGAGTTTACGCCGGCCGTTAAAAATATTAGAAACATCAAAACACTAAAATGACAATAAACACAAATAAAATTACATTCAAATAAATTTTAAAATAATATTATGTATACTATACCATAGAACCGCCAAAAACAAAAGAATTAGTATAATAAAATATGTTCAGCAGACGTTCATATTTCAAATTCCTGCTGACAGGCGGCATTACTGCGTTGTTTTCCGCCCCAACACCGATTTTGAATTCATACTTGTTTACATCTGTGCTCTGCCGTTGACGTTCTTTCAATTGTGATTTAGAATACATTTTTGTCAGTGGCTCCAAAGAAAGGCTCTAGTGCAATTTCTAATGCTATGCGTAAAGCTATATCGCTGGAAGATAAGATGGAAATTAATTATTTTATTCAGAATATTGTACGTACATGTCATGAATACTGTGATAGGTGATAGAGGGTGCTTATTTGCGATTTATAGAGTAGTTATTTCACGTAAGTCGTTTATCAACCTAAGTCGTGACCTCTGGAACCAATTAACGACGTAGGGCGAGGTATACCTGTACACGTAGGCAAGATTTCGCCTCTTCTGTCCACTCACTTTACACTATTTACATTTAGTCTTCGTCCATTTCAGTATTAGCTAATAAAATATTTTTGGTAGTAACTGAAAAAAATCATAATTAAATGATGATTTTTTTTTTTTACCTAAATTCTGTTTTAGTATTCATTCTGTATTTTATGTTTTGAAAATCAGAAAGATTGTCAGTTATTGTGACTTAAGAATACACTAAATGATTTAGAAGAAAGCTATTATATTTATAATAGTACATATGCAATTTCTATCAATGCATTCCATTATTATTTTGACAGCTCCCTACTTTGGAGAAAGTTTTAAGTCTTTCTGAATTGCAGCCCATTTAATTAGGAGCATAAATTTTGTTTGTCAAACTGGAATCAACTCCAGCAACTTCCGACCGCTGGCAATTATACAGAAAAAGAAATAGTTTCTGAACAACTTCAACGACAACCAAAATAAATTGATTCTTATATAATCTTTTTCTGGGATAAGAAATAAACAAAAATCCACCAGAATTTAAACACTGAACCCAACTTTCTTGCACAGAAAGAACTTTCTTGTCCAGTAAGATAAAAATATTTCGTACATTTACAGAAAAAAAAGAACACCCTTATTTTTAACATAAATCTTATATCAGTTTTTTGTGGCTCATTAAAAATAACTGAAGATACCAAACATTAAAATAAAGATAGCAAAATCATAAAGTTGCAGGCAGGAAGAATCTGAAAAGTTCGCATGACAGGAAAACATGGAAATGAAAATAACTGAAAATGCTGCTATAAAAAAGAAGACAAATTTACCAGTCTTTAAATGAAAATAAAATATACCAGTAGAATAGTGGATAGCGGCTCGGATTGTGGAATCGGAGAAACGAGTTCGAATCCATTACATTCACTTACGTGCTAATGCCCTTGAGAAAGGTATTAATCCTATTCTTCTCCCTCCAGCTATGGGTAAATAGCAGGACAGTTTGGGTTCTATAGCCTTGGAGGGCAACTGGTCTAGGTTAAGGACAACTTTGAATTCAAGACCTACGGAGGGTTGTTTGGGGACCTTTGGCACCATTATAATCAAATCAATGGTTCCTAGGAACTGAGTTTCTTCACCCTCATACGTCATATATGACGAGGAGAGTCATATATATATATATATATATATATATAAGTGCGCAGGTATGCAGAAAATAGAAAAGAACACGTTGGGTGCATAATCCGGAGTTCCTTAGTATTTTGTTTTTATTTTTTAAGACAGAGCTCCATACAGAAGTAGAAGCTTATATTATAATAATATTTTTGTTTAAAAATATGATTCCTTCGCTACATAAGAGTTCTCATGTTTCAAAAACGAGAGCCTAAATCATCCAAATAATTATTAAAATAAAGTTGAATTGAGATGTTTAGTCCCGTTTCATCTTCAAGCGAAATTTTAAAAACCAACAGATAGCTTATTCCTAAAATTTCGCGAAGGAATCATATTTTTAAACAAAAAATATTATAATATATATATATAGGTTGTTTCTTTTTAAAATTGAAGCTTTAGATTTTAATTATAAATTTTTATTCCTTAATTGTTATTCATAATATTGTTTGTTTATCTTCACATTATATTTATTTCCTAGTTTATTTTGTTGATAATTTTTAAATGTTTAAATTAATGTCAAACGTTAACTACCAAATATATAAGTCTGTTCTTTTTTTCAAATTAACCCTAATATGCCCATAGATGCTAGCTTAATTTATTCTTC